TTTTTTTTCTATTACTGAATTACTAGGCTCTGTCTCTGGATGCCAGAAGTGGTCCTAGAGCAGGTAAACTAATGAATATGACTGTGTTCAAATAACACTTGAGTCATCAAAACAGACATCTGGTCCATAATTTGCCTACCACTCTTCTAGGGCAGAGCAGTCAACATCTGATGCAACTAGTTCTCCATATCCTTTCCAACCACTCTTGAGGAACAATATCAGTTTGTCCAGTACAGGCAGCCGATCATTTTCTCTTGCATGCTTTTGTCCACTCAACAATGATTCTCTATTAACCTCCCATATTTTAGTTAGTGTGTCAGACCATGGGGAAGGAGGAAAACACAAAATTGACCAAGTGTCCTGATGCTGTAACAAAATACCTTAGACTGGATAATTTAAAAAGAACAGAAATGCATTTCTCATGGTTCTGGAGTCTGGGAAGGCCAAAATCAAGGCACAAAAGGGTTACTGTCAGGTGAGAGCTGCTTTCTGCTTCCAAGTCACTGCATTCACAGGGCCAAAGAGATGGAGCCTGGAAAGGTACCGTCCTATTCCTTGAGCACTAATCCCATCCATGACCACCAGTTCTCAAGACCCAAATCCCCCTAAAAACCCTTACTTGTTTGTTACATGTTTTCACTAAGGGTTGAGTTTCAACATGAATTTTAGAGAGACACGAACATTTCAACCACAACACTAAGTTATTTACTCTCACCGTTAAGAGTGAATGGAGTGTATGGAGACCAGTGATAAATAAATGAATAAATAAACAAAAGCATTTCTGATACAGTAAGTGTTCTGGGGAAAAAAAAGAAAAGATCCCACATTAAAACAGGTGTCATGGAAGGGATCTCTGCAGAACTGTTCTTTAACCTGAGATTCTCAGGGTCACCTAGATTAACAGGATGGAGGTAATTGTAGACACCCCTTTCTTCTCCCAAACCCCCATTCGTACCATCTGAATGTCTTCTCCCACAACTGGAAGAAACAGACTTAAAATGCAGCGACATGGTGGCAGCCACATTGTAGTCTGAATGAAATATTCAGTTGGTAAGCAGTTAGCCAATTCATCTGTCACTGTGCATGGCTACTTACCACAGTCTCTGTTCCTGGGAAAGTGGAGAACACAGGACTGTGAGGAGACTCCTACAATCATGAGTTAGGGGGGAGCCCCTTTCTTGTGTTCCCAGCTCCCAGCCAGCAATGCAGGAGAGCCTGCCCACTGTATCAGATGGGTGAGGAGGACTTGAGAGAGGATATTTCTCTACATTCAGGTTAAAGCACCCCCAGAAAGGAGCATGGCAAGAGAGCTTTACCATTTGCTGTCTGTTTAGTGTTCTCCTACCCTCATGCAAGGTTACTTGCCATAGTTTAGTTAGAAATATTGTTTGCATTTTCTCCACCCCCTCAAGTTTAGTCCCCAGGTATCTGTTAATATTTCACTGCCCTGGTTTTAGAGCCCACACAGAGAGGCATTTAATAAATGCTCAATAAATGCACACCACTTGATTGCTGTCCTTGAAATAGAGCGCACTGCTGAGCTGGTCTGCTGCCTTCCTCCCACACGGGCTTTTGTGCCTCCCTAAAACTTACGGTTAACCAGGGGAAAGAATCTAATACAATTCTTTAAAGGTTTGCTTTGCATGTCTTTTTAAAGTCTGTTGAAAGGCATGTGGAGGGGGAAAGTTGGATTGAAGAGCGTTGCTCGGAAATGTGGAGAGAATCTTTTCCACGGGGTCTGCCTTCCCACAAGTTTTATCATTTTAAATATAGGGAGAAACAGCTGCAATTGCTATTTCGATTTTGATCAACCATTAGGGAGGCAGCCAGGTTTGGGATAGAAATTTCCTTTCTTCTTTCAAGTCCTTGCTAACTGGGACGAGGAAGCCTGCCATTTAGATAGAGGGCAAAAGGCTTTTTGAAACACAGCCCCTCCTGAGCCATGATGCCTTTGATGTTTTAGGCAGTGCTTTCCAGAAGACATGGATGCTTTGTATATGCTGCAAATGTCGAAGAAGCTGTTTACTGATTATTTATTTATTTATTTATTTATTTATTTATTTATTTATTTATTTATTAGGGCATGTGTCAGTCACCTTTCTCAAAGCTTTGGCAAAATCCCTGACAAAATCCACCTGAGAAAATTCATTTAATTTTTTATATTTGGGCTAGGGAGATGGACGAGCTGGTGCTAAAGCTCCAGCTGCAGGAGAATGAGGACCTCAGTTTGAATCCTCAGCATGCATGGGAAAGCGAGGCATGGCGGCACATGCCACTGCAGGGGAGGCAGAGACAGCTAGAGCTTCGGGGCTCGTGGGCCAGCCAATCTAGCCAAATAAGTGAGCTACAGTGGGAGACTGTCTCCAAGAATAAGATGAAGAGATATTGAGGAGGACACCTAACAGTGACCTCTGTTCTCCACATAACAGGCACATGTCTACTGTAACACGTATTAACACATACACAATAAATAAATAACAAAAAAAGAAAGGGAGTAAAAGGCAAAGTCTTTACGGTGGGAGAGATGGCAGTGAATAGACAGAGGATAGACAGGAAGTAGGACTGGACGGTGAAATCCCAAGGCCCGCCCCCAGTGATCCACTTCCTCCATCTAGTCTTCCCTTCCTTAATGGTTCCTTTACTTTCTAAAACAAAGCCGCCATCTGGGGACCAAGTGTTCAAAACACACACATGCTACAAGAGACATCTCACACCCAAACCACAACAGCACCCGTTAATTGTACAGAGGGATGACTTCTGTTATGACAATTCATTTGTGCCTATAAAACATTTCTGGTCATGTTCACCCCCTCCATTACCATTCCCTCTCCAATCACCCCTTCTGGAAGCCCTCTCTCTTCTCTCTAGTAGTCCCCTCCTCCTGTTCTGTGTTTTTCCTCTCCTTCCTCTCTCTACTCCTCTCCCTGCTCCCTTCCTCTTCTTCCTCCTCCTCCCTTTTTCTCCTCTCTTCCTCATTTATAATCTGCACATGGGGGAGATGCTTGCTAAGGGCTCCTCTGGTTCTGGCCCAGTTCTCTCAACAAGACTGTCTCCAGTTCCATCTACCTCGGCACAAATGGCAAGGCTTGTTCTGACCATTCATTCCCAACAGCTGCAAATTCAGACTACAGAGCCTCTATTTCTGCTGAAATTCTCTCCACGTCCGTATGGGTGACAGGGTTATCTTGAACTTTGGAAAAGCAGTCTCTAGGAAATCATATTCGGCAGTCAGAGATAAGACGCCATGAAGCAATAACAAGGATGGAGTGTGGAGCCAAGCTCTGTGATTTGAAATCCCAGAGCTGCCACTTGCTGGCTGTGAGACCCTGAGCGAGCCAAATGGTAGATCTGAGCCCTAGCTGTCCATCTCTGTCCTGGACCAAGAGGAGCATCTCATTGGGAGTTCTCTGAGCTCTAAATGTAAGCAAGGAAGTTGGCCAGGGTAGTTGGCCGGGGCAGTTGGCTGGGTGCCTGATCTGTGAAGAGCTTTTTGTATCAGCAAGAGCTCCAATTTATAACCAGTCATTAATGATACCACCTTTGATGAACCACTTCTATGAAGTGTTTTATTTTACTTATTTCCCTTTCTAAAACATGAGAGCATTACCAAACATGAAACACTGTGGTTGAAGGGCAATTTAGGAATTAAAAAAAAAAAAAGTTTAAACCTCATGATTCTAAACCTCCCTGTTTTATCTTTGGGTTTTGAAAACCACTGTTAAATCATTTGGTATTTTGGTTGTAGCATAATATGTAACATTAAAAAAACCAGAGTGTTTACCAGTTGAGGGATCTGGTTACATATTTACATGTGATGCACAGAAAGAAAACCTTTCTTCTTTTTAAAAGGTTTGGTTCTACTTGTAGTTTACAAGTCAATTTCCTTTTTGTGCTCAGATCCAAACAGTTCACATCCCTGCACATTCTGGTTATTGGTGTCACTCTGGAAGTGGCATTTCCAGACAAAGAGCTTCACACAAAGTCCTCTGGCATGGTGAAGGGAGGGTGCTTCAGGTCCTTAAAACCCGTAATTTTAGCATGCTCATCAGATAATAAGGATAATAACAGAGTTGTAGAATTTCAGGACTAGGAGAACATCAGATCCATCTAATGTAACCCCTCATTTTACAGATGAGTAAGTCTCTCATCCTAGAACTACAGTTTGGTCCTAAAAAGTTTTCACATTGATAATATCATTTGCCTCCCTAACTACCCTCTGAGGTGAGAGAGGGTAGGTGTTAGTTACCTCTTCTTTGGGATTATATGGGACACTCCCATGCCCTAAAAGGAGTCAGCTGGTATTCATCCATGCTTCAGGTTACCTTGGGTACACCTTACTGAGAGTCATCTAGACCACAGGTCTGCCAGCTTTTATGTTTCTGGTTTTTAATCCTTTGGGTGCAAAATAAAAGCTACAGCCGGGCAATGGTGGCACATGCCTTTAATCCAAATACTCAGGAGGCAGAGCCAGGTAGATCTCTGTGAGTTCAAGGCCAGCCTGGTGTACAGAGTGAGATCCAGGACAGGCACTGAAACTACACAGAGAAACCCTGTCTGGAAAAAACAAACAAACAAATAAATAAATGCTACAGTCCAATAAGATGCATAAGGTCCCACATCTCATCTTACTCCTTTCCTCTGCCTCATATTTCCTCACCGTGTCCACTTTTTCCTTTAGGAAAATCGGTGACTCTGTACCTGCAAGTTCCCATTGCTTGAAATGCTTTCCTAATCTTATGTTTTTAACCTTAGCCATTTCCTTTGAAGAATAAATTCCAGATACTCATCATTTCTCTTATGCCCCATCCTTCCTTTCTCAAGACCCAACTCTAGCCAGGAGTCCCAGGAAAAGCTTGTTTCAGCCATGCCTCTGATTCTCCATAACAAGGGGACCGATGGGAGGTGTGGGTGTAAGTAGAGCTAAGAGAGCATGCGGCTCCAGAGAAACCAGGAGAAGGCAGTGTAGGAAGGTAGCTTTGTTCGTTGTAACTGTACATTACCTGGCTCCAAACCTTAGCAAATCTCCGTGACAAAGCCCAGTATAATCCAGGAAAGTAGTATGCTCTTAAATTGGTTCTGAAAAAGCAAATAAAATTCTGATTTGTGGAATTTGCCAGTTTCTAAGTGTAAAAAATGCTCCCATGATGGGTGTACTTCAAGTGACTGTGATGTCACTAAATGCAGGCCAAGTGTTGACATTCTTCTTTGTGAGTAGGTTTCCAGGCACTGGTTCTAGAACACCGCTGTCTTTGGTTGAAGCTAAAGTGAGTGGGGTTCTGTTCCTTGTTAATAGGTTTTCTGTATCACGGTAATAGGTTTCTCCTCCAAGGAAGTAAGCCAGATCAAGCTGAAATGAAAAAGTGTAAGAACAGTTTATTTGAGTAGAACAACTCCCGGGTGAGTTCTCCAGCCCCAGAGATCCAGGCAGGAGAAGTCACATGCCCGAACCACAGCAGGGAGCTTATGCAGGCTGTAGACCAGGAGTGATGACATGTCTGCCCCAAGCTGGTTTTGTGCCCAAGAATGGTCAAAAGCTGAGCACTTTAGGTGCAGACTTGACTGCTGGCAACTTCAGAGGAGGCGCTACTGCAGCCGCCAAGAATGCGGAACTGGGTTTTTTGTTTTTGTTTTTGTTTTTGTTTTTTTTGGCACCTTTTCTTTCTTGGAGATTCTCAGAGAGGGGGGTTTAGAGAGAAAGGAATGGGGCTTTCCAGACCAAATGGGAGTGAGCTGGAGGTTCCAGCCAAACACTCGTCACCACATACATCCATTCAGTTAAGGCACCATTGACGACCACCAGCAAAAAGAGAAAACCACCGTGCCTATTAACACCATGATATACAGACTTGTAACGACAATGCCATTATCTACCAGGAAGCTGTAAATGCCAACCTTGGCTAATCCCATACTTCCTGAATCTATTCCTCTGTTACTGTAAACTCGCCCCCAACCCACCCCGCGCCCCCTCTCTGTAATATTTTATGTGTGGTAGGCAATGATTATGATCGTGATTACTGTGGGTATCTTAGTAACTAAATGTAACACAGATTCACTGAGTTGTGGGTATCTCAAGTCCAATAAAAACACATTTTATAAAAACATGGAGAATTCAGGCCATTCCCTCTAATGGTAGGTAGATAGCTGTTTTCTTAATGTCCAGTGCAAATATTTTTACTCCATTCCTAAGCTTTCCTCTGTAGATAATAGCTTTTTGCTGTTGACACCAAAGCATAGGGAATTTTGTTTAAAACATTGCAAATGTCAATTAAATGCCGCATATGAAATGCTTGTCTTCCAATTAACCCTAATGAGCTGATGACAGGATACACAAGAGTGTTCCAGAACTGTTAATGACATCCTTTTTAGGGAAGCCACCTGACCCTGGACCCATCCAAAATCACCCTGGCTTCTAAGCTGAGTCCAACTTTTAGAGCTGTGACAGAGCGAAAAGAAAAGCCCATCTCAGACTCAGTGAACTGCAGGAGTCTTTGCTACAGAACAGAACTTGGCCAGATAGCTATCACCTCGTGGAAACCTCTTCTGACCTTCCTCCCCCTTTTCCTCTGAGCTGGGCTACATGCTCTTCCCTGTGTTCCTGTCCCATCCTGAGCATGGGTGGCGTCCGGGTGTTTTGTGGAGGACTGTATGTGTGAGAATGAGTGTCTCTTGAGAGTCTCTAGAATGATACCATTTTGCTCCCTGAGTTCATCTGAGACTCTGCTTTGGAAATTTAGGAGCTAGTTAAATTGTCAGGAGAGCCTGAAATCACCATGGGCTTCCACTCTCCCCTCTTGGGCTCTTTTCTTCCTCTTTTCACAGGATTGCTTTGGGCAACAAGCCAACATCCTGAAGCTGTAGGTGGTCCATGAGCCCTGTGAGGCCAAGAGAGGAAGTCAAATTTCTGGTACCTGACACCAGCCACTGTGGTATCCGGAATGCTTATGCTTTCCTTAAATGAGAAAAATAGTCTCTTCCAGATTGTAGTTCTTACTGCTCTTTCTGGAGGTATCTTATTTCCATCTGTTTATTTTCAGAGCTTCAAAATAAATAAAAGTTACCTCTGACATTTTCTTTTCTCACAACATTCAAACCTCCACACAGGGCTCTCTGCCTTCTATGGTCTAAAATAGCAAAGTTGAAGAAGGAAATACCAGTTATTGTTATCAATTAAATAAACAGCATCAATTCAAGCAATTGCAATCAAGATTTCCTGGATTTGGAGTCTTGCGTGCTGGGATATCGGGAGCCCTATCAAAGGTTAGAAAGTGGGATCTGGTCCAGTTGCTTGTGTCTATGCTCTGTGGTTCAGGTGGAGGTGGGGAGGGGGACCTCTCCCCTGCTTAGAAAGGCAAAAGCAAGCCTCGGTGACTCTCTGGTCCAGGGAGGCTTTGTGGCTAAGAAACCTCAAAAATGAAACAATTACAAACAAACATAGAGCAAACAAAGACTCGCTGGCCTTGTTGAACTGTTTTATACGAATCCTGACTACAAAAGGCAGGCAGGTTCCAGATTTTGTAAGAGATCAGTGACAAGCTGGAACGTTTCATTTCTGGTCCCAGTGAGAAGTTCAATTTGAAGAGTTATCCTCATATATGTGTGAAAAGCTGGCGAGCTCAGGCCCACCACCCTGGGAAGCTTTGAGGCTGCTGAACGTTCTTGGAGCTTTTGTGCTGATACAGTTTCGTGACCGGGGAAAACTATTTCAGTCATTTCCTTAACTCTAATAGTTCCCATCCATAACTTCAAAAGGGATGGTAGCCAGAATGAAGAGGTTGCTCCTGCTTCTTTCTGAGCAATGCTTCTAGAAGTTTCAATAACTACATTCAGGGAAGGGCTAGTCCGCAGCCATCCTCACCGATTTAATGTGAAACTTCTTCTGTGTGACCACTTGTAAATGCTGGGGCATTTACAGATACAACGTGTATCTGTAAAAAGATACTGCTTTTCATAAGTTACTTTGTTGATGCAAGAAGAGTAACAATATGTGGGCTTGAAAGTGTAGATCCACAGGCCCCCAAAAGACTGGGTGTAGTGATATACTCCTACAATCCCAGCACTCCAGAAGTAGAGGCAGAAGGATCAGAAATTCAAGGTCGCCCACAACGACATATCAAGTTTTGAGACCAGCCTGGGATACACGAAACTCTAGTTAGAATGACGGCTTCAGTATAGAGTGGATTCCCGGGGCTTTGTGGCTGTGCCTAAAGAATTCAATACTCCTCTTTCATTTTTTTGCTTTGTTTATTTTAGGAAACTTTTAACCAGCCTCTGTTCCCCCTCTTCTCTGAGATCATCACCAAGCACAGCAGTCTTTGCACACCAAAAGTTAATTTTCAGACATTTCAATGGCTTACAGTTATGCTCAGAAATCAAACACGAATCCCTGGAAGATCTAGTCATTAACTGCCCCTGCAATGTCATCGACCATCATCATCTCTTCCTTTCTCTCTGAGCCCCAGCTAGCAGCATGTCCTCCATCTTTTCTGAACATGCCAAGCACGACCCCTTCTCCCCATCAAAGCCTTGGGAACTTGCTGTTTTATCTGCTTAGATACCTGGCTCCTTCAATTTCATCCTTAGGTTCCCAGCTCCAGTGTTGCCTGCCTTCTTGACTAGTCCTTTCCAGACTACTCCATCGTATGTGACCAATGTCTGCTGATCACTCTACTACATTCTCTGGTCCCTGCCAATCGCTATTATTCTATTTGTTTGTTGGTTGCTTTTCCTTGTGTTTCTCTTCTGTGTCCCCCTCATAGAATGTAAGTGTGAGAGAATGGGGACTTGTGTTTTGGTCAGTCCCATTTCAAAAGGGGACAGAATAGGAACTGAAAGAACATTGGTTGAACCATCAAATCTCTTCTATTATTTGCTGTTTTGTCTTTCACAGCTTGTTCCCTCACCTTCAGTATCCAATTCTGAATCCATGCCTTTTGAGACGTGTCCTCCCCTGCCCCATTTCAGGCTTCATTATATAAAATCTTCTTTTGCAAATGTGTTCCAGTTTCCTTGGGAGGAATGTGCTTTCGGTCGGGTCTGATACAGTGTGAGGATTTCCAAGTGCTAAATGGTAAATGGAAAACAGTGGAAAATCACATTGCCCTGGATGATTGCCTTTCTCTAAGCCCAACGTCTTCAGCCAAGTCACTAGAAGCAGGCACTGTTTCGGATCTCTCTTTTTCTTCACTTCTCTTGTGTCCTCCTCCTCCTTCTCTTCTTCTTCTCCTTCTTCTTTTTCTTCAGATAACTGACTCCAAGTTTAATATCCCTGTTCTGCCTTCTCTTTTAGTTCTTTGATACAGGTTGTTAGAATTTAACAGTTAAACAGGTAAACTTAGAATTTCAAAATATGTTCTTCTGATATTTCTAAAAAACACACAAAGTTCTAGAAATATGATTTGCTGTGAGGGAAACTTAAATTGCTTTTGCTCATCTGGTGTAGCTTCTTGTTTCTCTGCTTTCAGCAGGAGTATGTTTTTAATGGAGGGCTGAACGAACCAATTAATTTTTCTAAATGTCTTGTGAAATTTCCTCAGCTAGAAACAACACACATATACGTCTATTTTTGGCTCAAAATTCTTTCATACGATGCTATGTCAGCCACCAAATGTTAAGACTTTCCCTTCCGCATCAACACTATATACCTAGTGTTTAAACGTTACCAAACACATTTGAATTGTTGACCGCAGGCACAATTTGAGGCTGTGGAGTTTTCAAACAAGAAGGAATCTTCCGTTTTAAGAGAAGGAAGTCAGTTTAGAGAGGCTGGGTCCTAACCTGTGTCCTACTGGACCACATTTGGGTCTTAGAAATGAAGACATTACTATATCATGGTCACACACACTTCCCTACTGAGGTCTAACCACGCATTACAACAGTCATTAAAAGGCTTAATTGTGGACATGCAATAGATTCTACAAGCTTATAGTGTACCGTTTTTGTTTAGAATAATGGTTTCTGAGTTTTTCTCCATTAAAAAAAATCCTATTGTTCCCTTGTGGATTCCCTTAATCTAAGGGTTCATGAGCACTCAGTCCAATAACTTACATTTCACCGTGTACTTCATCAGCTCTGGCCAAAGAGGAGGCTCTTTGTTCTTCAGGTGACCTGGGTAGCCTCATGATGGGCAGATAGAGCTG